CATTTGCCACCGACTAGGAAGAGAAGATCGGTACCGACGAGCCGTTGTTGCGATCGCTGACAATAATGCAAACTGATTGGCGTATTACAATGTTTTATTGCTGATAATTGGCTGCGTACTCGTGATTTACATGCGGCAAGAAAAATAATGTGAAAACGCACGGGAGAACAGTTACGAATGAAAAAGAGAGAAAGAAAGAAAGAAAAGAAGAAAGCGAAACTACGCGCGCACGCGGAGCATCGTACGCGAGCATCATTTCATGGAAACTACGTGAGGGAGAGATACGTATTATTAATAAATAAATAAAGTCAACGCAATATTTTCAGTAATAAAAATTCATAATTCCTCTTCAATTTCAATAAACGTCACCTAATACATTTGTCCTCCTTCTTTGTACCATAGCATATGTATATACTTCACTTCTTTTTTTTTTTTTTTTTATTTTCTTTTTATTGTTTTCCGTTCTCTCTCAACATATGCACAGGATCGGATCGTGCACACGTATGTGTTGAAGTTGAAACGCTCATGTATATACGTGTATATACATACATACATACATACATATATATATATATATATGCATGTATGTATGTATGTTTCTCTATTATGCACACGCGACACAATTGTACATGCTTCGTGTATCTCTACTGAAATCCCGCCTGTTCCTCCTACCACACATACATACGAAACATGCGCATGCGAAATATCACACGGAACACGCGCGTCGATAACATATATTCTACATACGTGTGATAAGTGTTAATGGTGGCATTTTTTTTTGCCGCGGCGACGCGCGTGCACACGTAAACGCTTTCGGCTAAATAACACGTATACATTGTATTCCAATTCAAATCATAGAAACATGGTTTCCTCCTGCACGACAATCGTGAGAATAAAAATAAGTGTCGTAATAGTTGTACTAATTAATATAGTGTAATAATAATAGTAATGGTGTAATAATGATAGCGGTAGCAGTGATGATAATAACACCGTTGGTATATTACCTTTTCTTTTTCTTTTTCCTTTTTTTCCCCTTTTTTTTTCTTTTTTCTTTTTTTTTCTTTTTTTTTTTTAATCTTCCGAGTTTTACGCGTACGTATTGATAATTAATCGCCGCAATTGTTTTACCAATAATCGCCGTATATACAATGTACAACATATAAGTATAACATTTATCGTATGCCGTTTAACAAAGATTTACAAGTATCTTCTTATTTCCCGGTCACTGTGCGTGTATATAAATATATAAATTAATGTATAAACATATAAAGGTTCACATTAATTTATATATTTATACGGGTTGTAGGCGTGTATGCGTTTGTAAATAAGAAGTGTTATATTTATATTATAGTTGAATAACATTCTCTGTCCTACCCGCGATAATTGGTATTTAATTAGTGTTACTTACACGATGCAAGTGACATGTGACAAACTACATACGGCGGGGCTCATATCGAACAACATATAAATTAGTCGAGAGAATTAGTTTGTGTTAATTAATACGCGTCGATTGTCTCACATTTCTTCCCGACAATCGACTCTGCGTTAACTGAAAAAAAAATATTATTAATTTACACAAACTATACGCATCAGACGAGATGTTTCCCTTTATACATTCAATAAAATAAACATTCTAGCTGAATATCGTTAATATATTAATTAATCTCTACCTAACAGCTTGTTAATTGTCCATATAATCAATATATTAATATAGGGACATGCGATAACGAGGTCCCGAAACGGAAATCCATTTTTTCTATTTATCTAATTTCGAAATTCGTTATACACTATTTTACAATTGCCTATATAATTATTTACAATTCTTTCCGCAATAGCGAATCTATCTGTATGTCATCTAATCCACTTTTTTTTTTTTTTAATTTTCGCCTATATGTATATACATTTGTTGTGTGTGTATGCAAGAAAAATATCTCTCTGAATGTAATTTAATTGGAATTATATCTTTGGATTGTGACCAAAAATAGATTTAAGTAACAACTTGTAGGTGGGGGTGTTCTCGATTAAGAATGGTCAATCGTCACGTGAATCATCCACGTATGCAACTTCAAAAAGTCAAAAGTCGCGGTATACGCAATAATACGAGAAATCGATATAGTATAAACGAACGTTCCTTTCGTTGTTTCTGACGCACATAAATCGTAGCTGAAAAATGGAACGCGAGTAAGTATCCTTAGAAAAGACTATAACGGTGCAAAGCAAGCGTAAAGAAGAGAGCCAGTCGCAAAAATATGAGATTGACCATTCTTATTCTAAATTATATAATATTTATCACTTACAATGAAGATAAATATTCTTTCAAGATTACTTCGATATGCAAGTGCAAAAGCATTTTTTTCACTTTTTCATTATTTTTTATACTGATCATTCTATACTGATTAAGTTAATAAATTTTTCTATCTATCATCTACTATTGACATAGGCAAATGAAGTTTTCCACCTGATGGTATTTTTTACATTGCACGCGTGTATGCGTGTATGTGTGTGTATATATGTGTGCATATATATATATATACACACATACATATATTTATTTATTTATATTTATATATTATTTTCATTAAAAAAATTAGATACAATTGCAAAAATTCTAAGTACGTTCAAAAATACCATCGGGTCGTACTCATTAATTTGTGCTTTATTCATTAAAATATATACGAAGTACCTTTTCTCAGACATTTTCGAAACAGTAGCCCTATCACAGTGTGGCTCGGAGATGAAGGCTATCTTTCTCTCCTTATGCAGACCAGACTTTATAAAACAGACTCTATTTGTTTAATTTCCTTCTCAGGTGGTTCTTGTGGAGATGGTGCAGTTTCTACGATTTCAGGGATATCTTCTTCGTTCTCTTCTTCAATATCTTCATCAATTGGAGTCAATGTATCTAATATCACAGGCTGAGTCTGTAACAAAATTTATTCTCCCTCGTTAATTTAAAGTACTTCGGATAACGTTTACATTGTACCACGGTATAATTACCTGCGGCGTTGTGCACCGTTTCATAGCTGGGGCCATGAAACTAGTAACCGTGCTTACAAAGAAGAAAAATCCTGCCATGAAGAATGGGATGCTGTAACTTTGCGTTGCATCATAAACGGCACCGGCCAGAGGTGAACCGATGATAGCTGCAGCTCCTCTGAATAAGATTAGAAGGCCAAATGCATTGGTCAATTTATCTAGTCCTAAAAGGTCGACCAAAATAATCGACGTCAGGGAAATGTATCCAGCTGAAATATTACAGAAACAAACCTGTAACATCGAGGTAAACAACCACAGCTATAATAATACTTATTAATTTCAATACTTACATATAGCTATACCGAAGAGAATGCTCATAATAATGTATGCAGGATAAGAATGGCAAAATGGAATAGCAGCTACAGCAACTGTTGATATAATTAAGCAGATATTGTTCAATAACAGTGAGTCTACTTGTGGAAAATCTGCAATGTATCCACAAGCTACACGACCCAGAGTATTAGTAATTCCAATTATAGATACTAAATATGACGCAAGAGTCTTGTCAATATTCTAGAAACAATATACATTGAAAAACTAATCTTACAACGAGTAATGTATAATTAAAAAAAAAAATTATCTTTATATGTAATCTTGAACTTACATCTAAAACAGCAGCGTCTAATAAATATACAAAAGGGACGTATAGTCCAGCCATTCCGAACACATTACTAATACCGATTAAAAGAAATACTGGATTCTTTAGTAAAGATACATCCATCATAGTTGCCAAAGCTTCTTTGAACGAATCGGGCAATACCAAACAGGGACACAGGGCTTCTGTAAAATTTACTTCGTTTTAGAAAATCTTTGTGAATCACTGTATTTGTATTTTCGAGAAGTTACTTACGTTCTTGGCGCGCTTTTTCAATGTCAGTATCTTTAATATCCCCACGAACGGATTTCGATAATGAAATAACGCTTTGACGATAATTTGCAAGTGACTTTTGACTCTGATATTCTGGTAAATTAAGTACGCTGCCACTGTAAAATATATCCTTTCTCGATAGCGGTCGAATTTGCTGTTTCTCTTTTGGAATACTAGATTTGCTGGTAGTAAAAATAATACTTTCGCCATCCTGTAAAATCGTGTGCATAGTATGACAATTTTCTTTGAATTAAGTATATATTAGCATAAAAACTTGTGAGAAAAAAAACGTACGTCTACTTCCGCGTTGTTGTTTCGAGAGCCCATAACACTGCTCGTCGAAAGTCTCAAATGCAAACTCTTTCTCATATCGCCATTAGAGTTCAACGTTGTTCTAGAGTTCTTAATCGCGCTAAGGCTTGGTTTGTATCTCTCGCTAGTGCTAGTTTTGCGGATTCGATCGAAGAAGGGTACCGAACCATTTTTAGGTAAACCTTGTACGTGAGTTGTAAAAGCAGGCTGTGAAGCATTTCTGGGAATTATCGGTTTGAATTCGCTTTCAGACTTTTCCGACGTATCTTTTGTATCTTTGGTATCATCGATATTCTTTCTGCTCTTTGATTTAGTGGAAATATTTTTTAAGTCCATACTGCCACTATTACTAGTTGCGCCACTGGAAGAGTGTTCTTGTACTTTCACTTCCGATATAGTGGGCAGGGTCGGGACCGTTGGAACTGGCGTTAAAGGAGTTCCTTTAATGTCATAATTAAATGAAGCACAATGTAAAAAACACGGTACTCGATCGTCGATATGGTTAATTTTCTAACACAAATTGTCTTACCAGGCACTAATTGGTCTAAATTGAAACTGGAATGAACACCAGGATCGATATTAATAGGCATTTTCATCCTTTTCTCCATTGATCCATCAGGTAATTGTACCATGAAATAAGAACCTCCAATACTTCCACGTTCCATTTGAAATCTTTTCTCTTCCGCCATCCTTTGTAACAATGGTTTAACAGAAGAAGCTTTTGGATATTCTAATGGCCTCATCAATGCACCAAAGACCTGTAATTTCCCTATTATTATTATCAAACAACAATTCATGTTCCAAGATTTCAGAATATTTGTAACTACACTTACAGCACAATTCAAAATAAGGCCAGCAAGAATTAAGTTCGCTCCTTTCCAATTATATTCTTCTAGTAACATTGTTGCGAGAGGTGCAAATGCAAATGTGCCAAATCCCGAACCACATACAGCAATGCCTGTGGCTAGAGATCGTTTGGTTTCAAAATAATAACCTACGCATACTACAGCTGGTAAATATATTAGACCAAATCCAATTCCTGAAAGGAATATAATCGTTACAGGCTTGTTCAAAGCATAAGTAAGATTAAATTATAATCCAAAATGTTATACAAACCTCCCATAATACCATAAGTTATCATAAGCATATTTACACTGGTCGAAAATGTTGAAAGTACAAATGCTGCTGCACCTAAAATACTTCCTGCCATACATACTGCTCTACATCCATACTTATTTGTTAAAGCACTGACAACAGGTCCTGAAAATAGATCAAAACTTTTTAAACTAAAATAGTGTTACAACTTAAAAATAGATGACACTTATAGTTAAGGAACTTACCAGCACTGAGGTACATGCCAGATAACAACGATCCAACCCATGCAGTTTTTCCTTTTCCTTCTCCAAAATATGTAACAAATTCTCCCAAAAAGACGCCAAATGTATAAGCAATACCATCCACTATCATGTTACACATAAACGATGCGAATACTACCACCCAGCCATATCCACCATCAGGTGGAGGTGGTATATCGTGGTACTCACATAATGACCCTCCTTCATCTTCTGGAGATGCTTCATCACTAACTCCATCAGTGGTAGTTAATCTTGCATGCTCTTCCACAGAATATTCACTTTCCGTCTGTGAAAGAAATATGAAAATATATATACATATATATATATTTTTATTTGAGACTGATATGTGGTACATTAACAATTAAGCACTTTGTTTCTTTTTTTTTTTCTTTCTTAATTATTTTAATCGTGTATAGTTTATCTCCTTTAAAAAGTTTGAATGAATACTTTTTTTAAGTTCTTGTTACACTGTGAGATTGATATTTGTATCTGCCTTGAGTAAAGTAGTGGCAGTTCACCTTGAATACTGCAAGAAAAAGCTTGCTTTCATGCCAATGTATATATACAATTATGTAGGTACATCATACACATCTGTATGTGCCTGATTAACAGATTGTTGAGTAAAATTCCTATAGACTTCAGAAAATCATGCAGCAAAGTTCACCATGATCTTGTGCAGTCACTTGTACGATTACAAATTAATTTTCTTTTCTTTGGAAGTGAAAATTTAATGAAATTACAAAGGTGAAATGAAATAAATCGAAAAGCAAGCTGTTGCAGATATCTTTTGGAATGTAATGTGAGAACGCGCGGCTGTACCGTATATAGATGATCTCATAACGCAAACGCAAGCATAAATATTATATGGCTACTCTGTGATTTAATCATTCCCTAAGGCTACATTTGTCCGAAGTAAAATAGCGTTAAATACACGACAAAGCAATTTTATTTGACGAAAGTTTCTTAAAACACTGAGATTTTAAGGATAGATAGGGACAAAGAAGTGTCACACAAGTGTACTTTTATATGCCCCCAATCTTTCAAAAATCATTTTCAATTTAATTTCATCCTACTACCTGTTCATCAAATATGAAAAATGATCATTGTTAAGTGTTCGTAAAGTACTTATTTTTCCTCGAGACTTCGTACCAGCGAAATCAAAATATCAGGAATTCGAAAATTAACACATTGTTGTTTGCGGGTAACGGCCGTAGTAAGATTGTGATTCCCGTTACCCGCAAACAATGTGTTAAAAATCAAAATAACATTAAAGTAGCATTAAAAAGAAAGACACTTCGAAAGTACAAAGAAAGTTCCGTGCAATAACCTCGAATGCTCGACGTGTTAAGCGAATTTAAATATAGCGCTAGCACATATGAGAACGGATATCGATAGATTCCGATAGCAACTTAGCCGAATGGAAGGTCAGCCCAATCAGCTGATCCACTGTCATTAAAATTGGCAAAGCGTGCGCCACCTAACGCCAAGGCGAACGAAGCTCGACGAAAGTATTGTTTTCGACCTTGTTTTCCGTCGGCGGTCGGTGTCACATTTGCAACGGATGCAAATCGTGTACATAATCATGCAACGAATTGCAACGTAGCTGTGCCGACGACAACGCATGTGTATATATATGTGCGTATGGTGTGGCAACTCGTCCGTCCGTGCTCATTCGTCAGAAAACGTCTATGCGAAGGTGTGAATACGTTGGCTGTCAAGGCTGAATCACGTGTCGTTCCCGAACCGTACCGAACGGACAAACGAGGCGACTACAGTGAAACAAAACAAAACAAAAGGGCGAGAGAGATAAAGATGGGAAGAGTACCTCGAAACTCGAGGCGAATCAGATCGCCCGCCCGAAGAACGAAGAGATCGGATCGCGCAAGAAGCGCGTGAACGCGGTTGATATTAGCGGTTTACAGAGAGACGAATCTTTGAAACGTACCGTGCTGATCTTCCGCACGCGGCGCGAGCCGTATTGGCTGTACTGCGACTTGTTGAGCGACACGCGCGACATTCTACGATCGCCTTAATGTCACACCGTTCGCTCGTTTCACCGTTGGCCTCCGCACACTTATGCAGAGTTCTATTTTCGTAGAAGTGCGCGCAGCTGCGCGCGCTCTCGTACTTCTTCTTTCCCCCGTGACTTTATCCCGTGTGTAGCAAAGGTTTCGTCGCCTCACGCTACGCCACTTCCGCGCGACTCCTAACACACTCCCCCCCCTGTTAGCAAATAACAGGAGCAGCAGTGTAGTATGTATCGCTCGTCAAAATCCGCTGCCATGTCTTCTTTCACACTCGCGCGCGGCCGTGTCAACTCTCAGAGTCAGCCGTACTGCCATATCGCACGAGCCCACCGTTTTACACCGACTGATTAACAAATCGACAACCGCCCAACGGGAGGAGCAACGTGCAACAACCTCCCCTTCGGAGAAGTACACTTCTCTGAGAGAGGATCGAGACTCGGACACGTTCTCTCTTTCCTCCGTTCGATGGAAACACGCGGCGACGATCGTGCAGGGCGTAAGATGCAACGCTCAAATCACAAACAAGATGCGGCCACGCGAGTCAAACGACACTGCACATCCCGTGAAACGACACGGCACGCGCGAATTGTCATGACAAGTTTGCCGGCGGCAAATGCGGAGAGACAGTTGGCCTCGGCTGGTGGACGTGCAACTGCTGCGTATCGCTACGCACCACGGTGATTCTATTTATATATACAAACAACCGTACTTGTAGTCTCTCCTCTCCCCCAACTTCCACAAACAAAGTGATTTCGTTCTCTAGGCGTGCAACGTTCTTCTCCCTGTCATCGCGAACGACTTTGTAATAAAATAATCTTTGGCGTATTCGTTTTGCGAATAATACTGAACGATGAACGTGCAACGATGTGTCAATAATACAATCACTTGATAGCGTTTCGACGATTCTGAATGTGCTCTTTCTTTCTTTTTTTTTCCTTTTCACCACTGTTCTGTTTCAGCCGAGACCGCGGTGCACGAACGACTGAGCAGCACGAGCCTTCGTCGAGAATTTAAGTACCCGCCATACAAAGGAACTGCTTACGACAACGAAAGAGCACAGAGCTCTCGTTGAAGCGGTACTGATCGGTTGTGCGTGAAAAGTTAACCTATAAATGCGAGGCGTCTCGCACGCGTCCCCACCCTGTCTCGCAATTACGTGGCGCGACAAACCAGACGGCCATGCTTTGAATTTTCATACGTACGTTTTATTTCTCGGATTTTAGTTTTAATTACGAAAAAATAATCAAATTTACGTATATTTTGCTCAACGCGGTGGGGAGTACGCATTGTACAGAATATCGATACTCGATAAGAAATCCGCCTTAAAGGACGATTTAAAAGAACAGAACGTCACGAGTGAAAACAATCACTATATTTAAAGCAAATTGCGTAACAGACCTTTTTCTTTTCCATGTCGCATTTGATGGAACCATGAGCGATAAAATTAAGAAGAAAATATGTACATATTTTATCTAACAATGAGAGAGAGAGAGAGAGAGAGAAAGAAAGAAAGATGTACGAAGGGAAGAGGCAATAAAGTAATGAGAAATCGATGTAAAATACACGTGCATCACGGACCAAGGGTATTTGATACAAAATGATGTGCTTAAAATGATCTGCGTCCTTACGAAAGTATTACATAAACGAAAGCTATAAGGTATTAAGAAGCTCGGACCATGATGTAAACACTTCAAACCTGCTTTTTTTATCTTTCTTTCCATGCCCATAACATTTTTTTCGCAAACAAATATCAAGCAGAAAAGATGTTACGATTAATTCTTTTGTCAACACGAAGGATTTCAGATTAATCGAACCTCAAATTTTTTTTAGCTCTAAAAAAAAAGGAAACACACTGACGACGCATCTAAATAATAAACAGCGATCTACGATGATGAGGCTCGCAATTAAATCATCCCGAAAAAGCTCGTCCCAATGCTGACTTCATTCGATTCAGAAATGTCGAGGAGCACGAAAATAAGCAGCTCTGTGACACTGCGCTCCACGCAAGGCCGAAAACCTTCTCCTTGTTCATATTTGTTCAATGTGGCAATGGTTGTATCAAGGGTTACTTGGTACATTATGGGAGGAATTGCAACGACTGACCAACACGTCGCAGCTCAATGTCACTTGGCTCTGATCAGCGTGGATGATTCACATTTGACTGGCATAATGATGCAAAGATCGAAATGTTATTTACTCTAACGTGCAACTATAGCAGCAGCTTCTTTAAACTTACGTTTAATGCTTCGACGTTTAATGCTTCGACGCATTGTTCCGCGCTAGCCATTACTTCGTACTTAATCCTGTGCACGCGCGCTGCAGTGATTTCTATTTTTTTTTCTTTTTTTTTTTTAATATCACAGGACAGGTAGACGTGCCCACCTCGCCATCCGAGGTTTATGCAATTTTTAGAGCTTTAGCTGTTTCGAAACGTTACCTCACTAAACAAATATTTGCTGGCAACGGTCTCGTACTTCAGGAAGAAAGTGACAGTTCCTGGTTGTGCGTTGCTATCGGGTAGCTTCGAGAAATTATATTCACGGTCGCGAGCGGACGAGTACAGTAGTGTCGCGTTAACTGGCCAGAGTTTTGCTTTGTTAACTGGCTATAGTTATTCTCCGATTTCGCGACTCTGATGTCTCTTGCATAATGACGAAAGCAAGTAATTCAGCGAATCGACAAGTTACGAGTTACAGATCCGTAGACTCTTCTCTTTTGTGTATCATATCAAATTAAACTTGTAACAGTTTATTTGTTTTGTGAAAAAATTGTGATCAACGTAGTTTTATTTAAAATAGTATACCGTGTGAAAAGAAATTACCTAAATAGTATATCCGATTTTTTTCAAACTCTGCTCTTTGCTCCGAACATCTGTTGTTCGAAAATACTTTGCACTCAACGGGGAAGAGAAATATACTGTAAAAATATACCTCCCTCGGTAACTGGCCAGATATGGTCCCAACACGTGGCCAGTTAGCGAAGCACTACTGTAGTCATACGGGAAACATCGTGCATCGTAAAATGTATATCATGTTGTAGCGGGTAGCGTGACGCGCGCACTAATAATCTAAGTCGATGCTTACACTGGAATGAAATTAATCTTGCACGCGACGGAGGTTACCGAAATATATGGTTCGTATCGCCAAGATTATCGACGATCTCGGTTAATCAATTGCCATCTAATAATGGCCGTCTTCACGAAAATCACCAAACGATCGAATTATAGCGAGCACAGACGGGAGAGCTGGCGAAAGGAGGCGGGGCGATGAGGCAGGAGGGTACCAAGTAAACATTCTGAAGATGATCTCGAGTCGATGTGTAACAGTGGTGGAAACACTCGAAGAATCAGCACCGATAAAAGAGATAGGTAGACGGGAGGAGAATGGTACCACTGGTATGCAATGACGATCACGCGAGAGTTACTGCTACAACATACTGCATTCCACTGGGTATTCTCTGTTCTCGTCTCTACTCACGAGCACATTTATGAATTAATTAGATAATAACCAGCGACAATTAGTGTTGAAGGCACGACACATGAAAACATCATCTGCTTCTGATCTCCGCGGAAAAGCTAGCAGGCAAAAGTAACACAACACAATATCATGCTGCAGAGGAAAACGTCAATTCGTGATATTCGATGAAACAGCAGCGGCAGAATTTATCCCGCTTATTAAAATGAAATATTATATGAATGGTTTGTCACAGCCGATCAATTTCTTTATTTAACAGTAAGATCAGACCTAAAGTAATATCGAGGTTCGAAATAAAACCGCGAGCCAGTGGTTTTGAACAATGCAACTTTCTTTAAGTAGAATTCTCGACGAAAAACGTCACAGAGCGTGCAGAAATGCAAACAAAAACAATAATTTATAATAATCACAAGAACATGTGGTCCTCGTTTTCTTGGAAACGTTAACGGCACCAACGTACTGAGATGACTCAGAAACCATAAATGAGAACTACATCACGATATTCTTTCGATTTGCAACAGGCCATTGTTTACGACATCGCTAGTCTCTTTTTCGTTGTCCTAGTTCGCTTAGGACCGCGAGATACCAGGAGTCGTGATAAACGCGCGTGTACATAATAATCGAGAAAGGAAGAACAACGTCGTTCCTCCTGCCTCGATGAATCACGTCGTCTGAGTATGCGTTTTAAATTATCATAACCTTATTGAATTGATATTTTCCTTTCCTCGTTTTATCCGTGCACATTTATTACATCGTGATAAACAGTTGGAAAAATTGATTGAAAAGATTAAAAAACTGATGAGAACTACTGGAAAAAAAGAGCCGTTGATAAATCATTGATATTACGAACAGTATGATCCCATCTAATCCGTAGCTAATCGTACTTAATTGGTTCGAGCGAATTAAGAAAATTTGTCCCTGTTCGTAATGATTGTCTACTTGCTCTATCTACGTATAATCGTAAAAATTTCCGCGATTAAGTTGATGAGGAATTCGTCTATCAATTAGTTCGAGTTCAATTTGTTTTCGTCGATTACACTGACTCCTGAAGCTTACTATATATAGATAACTTCTGTGAATATATTGTATGTGTTTTTAAAACATCGTTGGTATCGTAACGAGACACAACATACAACGAGGCGCGTGGTCCTTACTAAAGATCTCATTAAAGAGCGAAGTTTATTAACCGTTTGAGCATCAGACGACGCGACCGTGCTTCTCTTAAAATTCATTGCCTGAAAGTGCCAATTAATTGGCCCGTAGAGTCGAACTGATTGCACGATCAGTTTTCGTGTTTTTACCGCTTAAGAAGCATGATCGCACCGTGTGACATTTTTCGACCGTATTTCTGCAGACTATCGAACTGAACTTGAACTTGATTGCTGATTACCGTATTTGAACTATTGAATTTCAACTTGATCGCCCGGTCTCATATAGGGACATCTTCAACTGGCCTTCCAAGGGACTCTGAAGAGTTGCGAAGTGAGAAACAATCAGAAAGCAAGGGAAAGGATTTCTAGGATTTTTTCGTTCATAAGAAAAGATTCGCGTGTGCTGGCAAGTCTGGGAAACAATCACATCGATCTCATTGCTTGCACAATACTTCCGAGTACGCGGATTATGACATAGAAATTGTTCTACATGAGAGGGAAAAATTAAATTTGGTACGTAAAAATTCTTAATTTGGTACGCTAAGTTTAAAGCATGTCCATGTTATGAATAATATATATCGTTGCCCTTAACAATGATTAACCATTTAAATGTGCGATGTGTATGTTTGGAATAAATATTTTATAACTTGTACCGTACATTTCCTCTCGAATCGCACGTTATTGCAATACTAACAGTAAAGTTTCAAAAAGGTTTCGTATAATGTACGTAATATGTGCATAAAAGATTTTAATAACAAGTGTTCAAATACTTTATACATTTTATATATTCCATGCAGGTTTAAATTAGAGCCTTCGGTAAAAGTAATCGAATTCATGGACACGTATTTCTACTTACGACACTCTTGGGCCGAATAACTCGAGGATAAGGGAAATACTTGACATCGATAGAGGACGATAACGAATTCAACAAACACTCAAAAGATAAGATGTTCACACGTAATAAAATACAGTTTAATCCATGACTCGACACCGATCCATTGTAAACTGGCACGTGACGCGATTTACGTCAAAAGAAGACAATAAAAAGAAAATAATATCTACAGGCACCACCCGAACGTACAATTTCGTACGCGAGATCTGTCTCTAATATTTCCAGCGATACATCACTGGACCATTTGCGAACGTGCATTATCGTGCATTATCCTAACTAAAAGCAACACAGGCCACTTTCACTCGTGTGTTTCGTGATTAACTCGATCGTGTCCGTGCATTTTGTCACTTGGTTTAAAATTCTCTGGCAAACCGCCGGTAATCACGATCGACGATGTTCGCCGAAAATACGAGCGTGCCGTGAGAACTATCAATTAAAAGTTCCGTACACACACACACACACACACGCGCGCACAGAGAAAAGAATACGAATCGAACTCATTCGATTAATGTTACTTCGACCTTCCATAAGTTGCTCAGGCCACGTACTGATACATCGTTTACATTGAAAACTGATATTTGAAAGTTACAAGAACATCGATTACATGCGTCAATTTATTTGTCCCGATATGCAACGTTAACAACGACGAGACAGTGTAAAAATACTAAAAACTACAATATAAGAATAACAAAGTAATTAAGAAAAAACGATGGAGCAGACATTCCTGCACGTATTCACTGGACTTGAAAAAAACGAATCAATTGTACATACCTTGTTTTTAGGTGACATCGTGCGACACGGGTGCCAACGTCCTGTTTGAATGAAGATGAATACACCCTCTCAGCGAGTGAGAAAGCGAATGAAAAAGAAAGAAAGAAAAGGGAGAGGAAGAGAGATGGCGGGTCTCGCGCCACCTGAGTGGACAGCGTCCAGCTGCGGTACGAGGAACAAGCGATATGAAAATGCGCGCTGCTCAACCACCGGCTGAGTTATCGCATCGTACTCGTCGAGTCCATCCGATTCCCCACTCTATGAAATATCCATCTCCCTTGCCAACTGTTCTCTGTACGTTCTGTATCGTCTCGATTATTCGCTGGATGCCTCCCTCTTTGTTTCTACGATTTCTCCCTCTATATTCCTATCCTTCAGTCGGCTAGTTGTCTGCTCGTTCCGCGGAAAACCGACTGTCTTCCTTCCGCTACCAGGTTCACGCAGCAGGCATTCACGCGATGCGATGTCACGCTATTGGCCTGCCTATCGATAGGTACAAAGGTTCTAGCTGTGTGCACGCCCTGATGTTCCAAATATGCGCGAGATATTACGGTTGGATGATGATCTTCTATAGAGCAGCACATAGGCTTTCAAAAGCGAACATCCATGCGATTCAGCTGCGCGAGTAATGCAGTAGTGGAATGATGAAAGAAAACGATAGGAACGAAGAGGGAAACCTATGTAAAAGAATAATAAGGAAATTTAATTTCTGCAGGGGAATCGTCCATGGGATTCGAATACGATCAAGCGGAGGTTATTTCCTAAATTAAACAGTTCCGTGGGTGCTTCGTCGTGAAAGGAGTTCTAACGCAGACGCGCGAATACGTTTCTGTTTTATGACGAAAATAGAGTAGCAAATCGCAGGCGTTCGGCTCACCCATTTCACGTGTTTCGAACGTCTGTGCATCGGTTCGTCCGAGCTTCTACGGTGTATTCTTCTATTGTCTTGCCGTACAAATACAAATGAAAACTGAATCACAGAAAATAAAGCCTACGAAACTCAAGAACTTGAAGAAGCGAGAAGAAAACGAACGATTATGCGTGTAGTTGGCAAAACATGCGAGAAGAGGGACGAAACGGACACGAGGATGAAAGAGACTCACGATGTTATTGGCCGTAGGTTTCGCCTTGATTTGCAGGCCATCATCGTCACCGATCTGCTCCCCAATCTGTTCGCGGCTGCTAGCGGGGCCCATCTCGGCGCCGCGGCGCCTACCCTAGGTACGGTTGTCACTATCTTCAACGAAATTGAAACAACCACGATCCCGCGTCCCCGTGTACGAGGAACGATGCGAGATTAGAGCTATCACCAGCCGGATGACACCTCCTTCGGGCGGTCCGGTGCGCCCCTTTTTCAATTATAAGCTCTCCATTAGCGTTTTATGAACAATCCTGGAAGTTGTAGCTGCTCGGTGACAGCCTCTTCCGGACGATTCGCCGCGTTCTTCTTCTCTCTTCCCTTCTTCCTCCCTTTTTTCCGGTAGGGTTCTTCCTCTTCCTCTCAGTCCATCGGTGCTGCAGTGTGCACGATTACGCTCTGAAGATAAAAAGAAACGGACGTTGGAAGAAACGATCGTCGAAGGATAACTCGGTTGCTCCTTCGGTGCGATTAGACGACGACGACGACGACGACGAGGATGTACGTCACCGGGTCGGCCCCTCGTCCCGGTGTTCCTCGTTACGATTAATTCGACGCGGCCGCCACCACTGGCACCAATTTCAGCACCTCGTTCGAATCGCCGCCGACGACGACGACGACGACGACGACGA